GAATATGCAAACCGATCTCATTCAAGTCAGCTTAATTGTCTTAAAGTTTAATTTAACAAAATTTGTTATGTTTTGTTTCTCAATATATAAAATAACTAGATAGCCTTTGGCTGCTTAAATCATGTACCTACAGGGTATTCGATTCAAATAAATATTTCAAGGCAAAAGTATTTTGCAGTTGTTGTTTCTTTGTGCTGCGTCCTTTTTGCTTTTGTCCTTTTTATCTCATGTTATATTTTTTTTTCTGCTTTCGAGCAACTGAAAGTGAGTTGATTTGGGGCTGAGCTGGCCCTGTGGCAGGGGATGTGCCAGCCATGCTTGACTTATGCGCTTGTCAGGCTGTTGACGACAGCATTTGAATGTGGGACAGCAACTGAAGCAATTGGCCGAAGGGAGGGGGGGGGGGGGGGGAAATGAACTGGCCATCTTTTCCTGGAAAAGCCAGCTAAAATAGCGGCAATGGAAATGTTCAAATTGTGCAGAAAATAATAATAATTCATGTATTATAAAGCTCTGGAAGGTAAGATAATAAATTTGAATAAAATGTATATCAGCAACTGTCGATAAATTATTTAGTGCTATGTTTCTAGGCTTGTTGGGAAAACAGGTTACGACCCAATTAAAAGATTGGATGGTAAATGTAGAAAAATAATTTGTGTTATCGAAAAACTTCCCAAAGGGCATTTCTGCCTCTATTGAGATAAGTCCTAAGTTAACGAAAATGTATCACAACGAAATATATTTGTTTTTGTTTAAAGAATTCTAAATTCAGAAGCCTTGTAATGGTTATATCCATTGATTCGATAGAAATAAATAATTTGTTCAACGATTTTGGAAGCGTTCGAGCTATCGATAAATAACTTGGCCTTGAAGGTTTAAGTTCTTTGAAAACTCGGACAGCTTCGACTCTTTTTTTTAATGATAATTGATAATTGAAGATCCAACCATAAACCATATCAATCGATTGACTTAACCTTTTGTGAACGATTTCTTCCATGCATTTTTTTTCGTCCCGTTCTTATCAAAATTTTGCCCACTGTGCTCCGGTATTTCACTTGTTGTCAGCCCATGGGCTTAAATAAGTTGCATGCATGCTCTCCACTTGCGAGGGGACATATTTCAAATGCCTAAAAAAAGCTAATAAATATAATACGGCAGCGAGGCTGGGGTTGGGGAGCAGCTGTGAAGAGGCAGGTTAGAAATGGCCGCTTCTTAGTTTTGCAGTTATTAAAACGAATTCGTTGCCTACTTTTTGGCGCGGCCAAAGCATAAAACATGATTATGTACAGCCGCCAGAAAGCGACACCTAAAGTTCTGCCTGCAATTAAAGCTGGTTATGCCTTATGCCCCCCCCTTGCCCCTCACCACCCCCCTCCCCCTTCACCCTGTTGATATCCTGCTAGCCTGCACTCAACAAATTTCGCAGAAAACCGCACAAAAGTTTTGTGTTAAGCGGCTTTTGGCTGCGTATTTAAGCCGTTTATGTTGTTACGTGTTACTGCGATACACACACGACTTACACACACACACACTCATATACGCACACTACACTACACACTTATGTCCATGGGCCGTATGTCAGCTAAAATTTGCGCGCCAGCTCCAGGATCGCCTGCTTGGAGTACTGACTAAAGCAGATGAAGAGAATGTGAAAGGAACACTCAGAAGTAATGCCGAAAAATGATATTAAGCGGATTGCCCGACGACACTGAGAAACACTGCGCCATAGCCATAGTAGAGTCCAACTTCAAGAGTCGTCTCAAATTTATGAAAAACTATGTGAAAAGGCAACAACAACATCAACAATAACAACAACAACAACAATAACAACGACTAACAACAATAACTACAAAAGGCAAACACCAATAATACTTACGACCACACACTAGCTGCCGTACAGAATGGGGCAGTGGATGGGGGGAGGGGCACAGGGCAGCGGATTGTGGCAACTGTGTAGGTAGTTTCAACGTTATGCTAGGCACTAGCATATATATTTATGGGCATGGGATTAAAAAGGATATTAGCCAGTTGTCGCCTCTGCTCCGGTTAAACAAGTGCTAACAATGGCCATAACAGATGCCACGCAACAAAACAGGCGACAAAAGGTGAATACAACGATATCGTTAACAGGGAATGCAATTATATACAGGCAGATATTGACATAGGCAAATGTAGCTAAATATTGAGATATATAAATCTATATACATATCGCAGTTGACAAAACAAAGGAACAGTTTTATATATGCAATCATTCACCTTACATTTCTATTATTCTATCTGACAGTTGCTTTTGAAGTTGAACCAGCGCCTTTTATACACAGACCCCCCTCCCCAATTGATCAAATTCTATAAAATTCCTTTGAGATAACTTTTCCATCATACGGAAACTTCTATAAAAAAATGCAGTTTTTGGACTTGGGCTAGACGTTGATCATTCAAGGCTGTTAATCAGTCAGTCAGTCTATCAATTTGTCAGTCAGTTAATTAATCAGTCTATCAATCAATTAGTCGGTCAGTCAGTCAGTCAGTCAGCCATTCAGTCAGTCTGTCAAACAGTCAGTCGGTCCTTCAGTCAGTCAGTCAATCAGCAGATTGCTTAGAATTACTTTCGTATGAAACTCTTTTTAAAGCTCTGAAACCACAACAAAAGTCCAATGAGTGTTTGGGAATTTGAACAATAAATTAAAAACGATCAAAGAGGAATGTAAACCACATGTTATTCATGTATATTTCTATTATGTAAAGTATGCTTCAATTAAATGTGCTTTAAGTTGAAATTAATCAAATATTTGTTAATATTTGAGTTGCGCAAATATTTGCTGAATGCTTTGTTCAAATTTAGCGCCTGCCAGTAACCCACTGGGTGCAGACACACACACACACACACACACATGTGTGAGTGTGAGTGTGTGTGTGGGTGGGTGTCTGTGTGTTTGTTATTTTATGTGTATTTGTATTCATTTGGAGTTTACATAAATTCATAGAGTTGGCAAATGGGCGACCTGGCTCTCTTTGGCTGTTTTGCCTGTCTGGGCGGTTTAAGCGTTGGCTTAATTGCTCAACAAGTTGGCGTCGTGCGGCGTTGCCAGAGGCCCCGAGCACCACCCCCCCGAAATAAAATCGGCAAGACCAAAATGGAAAAAAGGAAAGCAGCATACGAATACAATTTAGCATTCAATTTGAGCAAAGGCCACCTGCCAGGCGCTGTGACATGCGGCACACACACGGCCAACATCATCTAATGCTGTTGACAGCTGTTGTGTGTGTGGCAGCAGGTGCGGATTTGGGCCATGACAATCTGGGGAATCCACAATTAAAATGTTCGCCGCATGCTGATGCTGATGTTGATGTTGATGCGTTGCTGTCACGACTTAAGTCCACCATTGCCACATGGCACGCTAATTGCCTGGCCCCAAAATATTCATTTTTGGCAAAGATGATTAGAGTGGTGAGAGGGGATAGGGGGCGCGGCGCGTGTTAAAGGTCACGCCAAAAATCAATAGCCTTTTTGTCGCATCGACTGCCGACTGACAACATGTTGTCATCATACGCATCATGAGCTCAGTTTCTTCACAATTTCCATGCCATCATTGTCATCATTTAAAATTCAAATGCAAAAGCATTTTGCCACAGGTCGCAACTAGGTAAAGTCCAAGTCATTAAAATTCGCAGGCGGCCAAACAAATGCGTTGCGTCTTTAAGGCTAACTACGTGGCTTTAATACGCACACAATCAGCGCACGAAAGTATGCTACACACACACACACATACCACGCACACCTCAACTCACACCATTGTTAAAGGGGATGACATCGGCTGGCAAGCCAAACACGAACTCGACGCTGTTCACCACACCGAAGGGCACAAAAATATCCTTAGCTTGCCTTCGTATATCCCATATGGAATATCGGGAAATTAAATGTTGTCTTTCTTCTTTAACAGCATCTTTTCATCCACATTCTCGACTATAATATTGCCTGGAATTAAAGAATTTAAGGCTCGCTAGGCCACATTTTGACTGATTAATGCGTCTTTTAGCTTGAGTGTAGATTTTTTCACATTCATTTATTGAGCTTTTAGCTAGATTGCCGCTATAATTATTTTACTTGTTTATTTGTGGATATTCTACCTGTAACTGCGGAAAATTGGCGGAAAGTTGACGCCAAACGGTTGTAGGACAGTTTATTGTTAACCAGCCAAACGGCCTGAATTACATATTGAAGAATGTTAATGAAAATTCGTTTAAGACGTATTTTACTTGGTGAAAATATCGCTCAATTTATTTGACAACTTATTTTACGACTTCGGGCTGGTTTATTGGTTTATATTTCCCACTGTTCCACTGTAAGATAAAGCAACAAACGTGGCCGTGCAAAGCCGGGTAATGCAATATTCAATATTGATTTGAATCTCTTAAAGTCTAATTCAGCTGTTACTGAGGTATTTTACTAAACATTTAATATAAGGCCAAAGGAAAAAAGCCTGTATTTAGGTTTTCCCAGCCAAACTGGGAAATTTCGCTCTTTCAACACACACACACACACAAACACACACACACACATACACGCAGGACAGCTGTGGAGTGTGCGCATGTGTGTGTGTGTGTGTGTGCCGTGCCGTCGTTTCCTTGTTGTGCTACTGACTCCGGCACTGACTGGGGCGCTTGTCGGTTGTCGCTTGTCGGTTGTCGGTTGTGTTGGTTGTCGGTTGTCGGTAAATCACAACCATGGCACGGCACACGGCAATCAGTTTGTGTTTGGCTGTGTAACGCGTAGCGTGTGCTTTCACACGGCCTCGCTCGCCATTTTCAGAGTGCGCTCCACGAATTTTCGAACGCAACTTGTCGAATTTGGACCAAAGGCAACGAAAAAAAAAAGGCAAGGAACGTTATAAACCAAAACGAAAACAACTGCAACCGCGGCATTTTGCGTGATGTGTGCGAAAAAGTGAAAAGCGACAATAATTTCCAGCATTTATATTTATTTATTTTTTTCGAGTGCATTTTTGTGTATTTTTGTTTGCCGCTAAGGTATAAAGCTGAACTAATGCAAATAATAATGCATTTTAATTAATATTAATATAAATACATTGACGTGTTTGCGTGTGTGTGTTGCGGCATTTGTTGCATACTTTCAGGCTGAGCAAGAAAATCGAATTGTATTCATAATATTATGACTCTTGCACATGACAAGCAGCTTTAGGGACTGTGCGGGCTTGTGTGAGGCGTCGGCTTAGCTGTTGTCAGGGCCAATACAATAGCAGACGCTCTGGCGCCATTTCCAAAAGGCCTGTCTTTTCCCCTGAACAGAGCATACTTACTGACTAAATATCCAAAGTCTTTTACTAGATAAATTATATGTTCATATAATTTTTGATTGCCAACCTTTATATTTTGTTAAATTTATCTTGTCGTTTTCGTCTTCACTCTTGCTGCAAACACCTTTCCATATAATATGGTTCTCATAAAAATTGTAAACAATAATTTTATCCTTACTATATGCATATATATTCAGTGTCTATTGGCAAACTTAAGTCGACATAATGTAGTCTTGTCCGCCTGTCGCTTGGCTCTGGTTGCCATATAAAAAAAAGCTTTCTCTAGCTCAGTTGCGAAATGTTAGCAGAAAACTGAAAAGCCAACAACAAGAAGTTGCTGAATTTAAGTTTTAAATAGATATTGAGTTTTTTTTTTTTACTCAAAGAAGTTGCTGGACTTGGATCAGAATATATGTATCACTATATCATGCCACTCAGACATAGGGCATTTATTCAGTGGCAAAGCAAATTGCTTCTTTTTTGTCTTCTTATTTATTTTTTGTAGCATAATTTTTGGCGCAGTCAAGCAAAAACACGAGCATATTTGATGAATATGGCTGTCAAAAGAAAACGCGTGTGCCTGTCTCTGTGTGTGTGTGTGTGTGTGTGTGTGTATGTATGTGTGCTTCTTGGCCATAAATATTTGATAAGCATTTCAAATTCAAAAATAGCACAACAAAAATAGTAATGAGACCAAGACTTTAGCATATTTAATTAGTTTGCTTTTGAGGCCACGAATGAAAAGCAAAAAACGTTCATAAATAAATATCCCGGGCTGTAAACTGCATAAGCATACGTTGACAAACATATGCAAAAAAGTGCTGCACGTTGCATAGCTTTAAGCGTGCCCCTTTAAGTTGCAAGTCAGGCAGCGTGTCATTAATATGCCGAGCTCTGCGCGTGTGTGTGTGTGTGTGTGTGTGTGTTTGTTGTTGTTGTTGTTGTTATGCGTGCATGCAAGGCAATTGCATATGACGCTCTGCCCTGTGCTTGGCCTCTGCCAACCAGCCTGCCAGTGAGCCAGACATATGTATATTATCTCTAGTGAATTATGGCCTGGCCATATAGATTCCAAAACGTTCTGTCCTTACAAGAACACCGACTGCTGGCCAATGTCTGCCGCACACACACACACTTGCATGCCAAGCATGTACCTTTTTCTATGTGCCCCAAACCTCGTTACTGTCTCTGTCTATGTGTGTATCATCATCGTGCATTGTGGCACACATTGTTAAATGAACGATACAAAACTTCAACTCACATACACACACACACACACACACACACACTTACACACACGCACACACAGCAACAACAACAACACCATGCAATGTAGCGACATGTCCTGCCGCCTGCCAAACATGTCGCCTGGCACTTTGGTGTACTCCACTGTCTGCTGCTGCTGCTGTTGCTGCCTCGAATTACTCGACTCTTGCTCTGCTGCAACTTGAAATTAGATCTTGATATAGTACTAGGAGTAGTAGTAGCTAGTGCTAGCCCCTTACTGGATTTTTAAATCAGACCAATGCATAAACGCTATGAGAATATGCGTCCCACTAATTGGCTCCGGCGCCGCAGCGGTTTATCCCAATACTCCTCCTGCCCAGCTTCAGTCAGACAGCTGCTCTTCACTTGGCTTCAATCCTTTGCTAATTTATTGATGCCAGGCAGCAACAGCAGCAGCAGAAGCAGCAGCAGCAGCCAATGGCTAATGCTAGAAATTGAGTTATTTATGCTTCAGAATTGATTGCTGTTTGTTGTAAATTGCCGTGCTCCTGTTTCTCCGTTGTCGCCCAAGTCTGGTCAAACAAGTCAAGCGTGAGGCAGAATGGTAAATACCAACAACAGCAACAACATCAATAATAATCAACACACACGTAGATTCGCACACATACGAAGCCTTGCTTGCTGCAGTTGCGCTGCAAAGTATGCATCATTTTTTTTTTCTATAAAAATTCCGAAATTTTATATTTATCATTTTATTTAGCCCCAGGCGTAGCATTTCCAATTTAGCCGTGTCGAAAGAAAACAGAAATATGTATATATATATACTTATATATATACTTGTATATATATACTAATATATATATATATATAAATGACTTGGAAAATATGAAGAAATTTGTCATATAAGAACCTAATTCGGACCGATCGTTCCTAAAGCAGCTATATAACATATTGGTCCGATATATTTATATGAGTTGGTCGGATCGTTCTACATCGAACTTTTATTGCAAGAAGCGTTCGAAAGTATTAAAGCACTTGTCTGCCTGGTCGCAAATGCATTGCTTGATTTTCATTAAATAAATATTTATACAATCCCTAGCTAATTTCATTTTTCTATTTTACATTTCAACCCAGTTTTGCACGCTTCTTGATTTATTTTTCGGGTTACTTTTACAAATTGTAATATAAATACATTAAATTGCGCTTTTTGATTTTATAGTTTTTTTGTATTAATTTTTTGCTATCAACTAAAAGTTGACATCGATAAAATGCATCGTTTCAGCTGATATTTGTTTTGGCGCCTGTTGTAATTAGATCATAGTTAATTATTGCACATGACATTCATTAGCTATATGACAGCAATTTATTTATTTTTTCTTGGTGTAAAAGTACATTCAGTAGTTAAATTGACAGTTATAGACATAAATTATAAATGGTAAATGCATGTTATGTTGACAAGCTGTCCATGCAAATTCATATAAGCGGTCGAAATCAATCGAATGAAAGTCCATGGCCATACGATTTTCCCAGCTAAGCATGTTCGCATTGAAAAAATTGCATTTACACGTACTATCAAGAAAATCTTTTCATATATAATATAATAGATTAAATTGTCTAACTCAGCAGTTTTTCATCTATTTCCCATCTGTGCGCGTGAAAGTCTATGTCATCAAGAAGACGTAGCTTGCCTAGCTCTTCAATCAGGTGCATTGATCATTAATAATATTAAATGATACATTAGAACACAATTAGTTGGCCATAAAGCTTTTATATATCTTACTTTTCTGCAAACGTTAATTATTGACGGAATTTGAGTTCATAAAAAAAAAAAAAAACAGCTTGGCAGCTCTTAAGCTGTTAATTGCATATGATTAATTAATTGTAAATATTTGTGGACATTAATGCAGTTGGTTTTGATGCATTTCATAGGGTATACGCTTATCGATAATGTCTGTAATTTATTCATCAATGTTTCCCATGTTTTCTTTTTTGTTAATTATTTTCAGATATATTTTTGCACATTTTTTTTCTCGCTCCCGCTCTTCTGTGAGCTTATTTATTTATTATGCACTCGGTTCAAAATATTGACAAGCAATTTCAATTGCAATCGCAACGAATTTATTCAGATATATATATATATATATACATATATATCGAGTATTTATTATATTTGTTGTCTACTTTATGGCGCTTGGCGTTTCGATTTGCGCTCATCAAATGGCAAATGACAACAATCGGTTTTCAGTTTCATTTACTGCAGAGCATTTGTGGTTAACAACAGACCACTGCCAACCCGGAGCCAAGCCGGGCCGTTCCCTGGGTAATCATTAATCATGTGGGTGACGCCTAAAAGTATGCAGCAACTGTGGCATGCAGCATGCAGCATGCGGCATGCAATTAAAAAGCAAACAAAACGCAACGGCAACATAAATTTGCAGCGCCAGACAGACATATGTTGAGTGCAGGGAGGGGTCGCAGTGCGGGGTGTGGGGTGCACAGCATCAGCAGCTGTGAGGTATGCAACAAATTCCTTGCCGCAAAAACACATACGAGCTGAAGCTTAGCCCAAATTGCTTTTGCATAATTTTTAGGCGTTGAGCGTTTAATGAGCGACAAAAGCAAAAAACAAACCAAATGCAGCCCTAAGCTGTAAGTGCCACGCCTAAGTGGCAGCCACACAGTGTGACCACAGAGAGACAACACTGTGCCAGAATATCTTATAAGGCATACACAAAAATACACAAAGTGGAGCCCCACATGGAAGTTGCCGGCACGACGCTGATGCTGGTGGACGCGTCCACGGCCAACGAGATGCATAATCAGCATTCACATCACTCGCACCAGCGGCACTTGCAACGACAGAGCGGCGAGTCGGGCGGCCAAACGTCCGGCGATGCAACAAGCGGCACAGCACAAAGCCACGAAATGTCCGTCACTGTTGTTGCCACTGGCTCCGGCTCCGGCTCCGGTTCCGGTTCTGGTTCCGCTGCCAGCTCAAATACAGTTGTAATCGAACCTGTTATCGCCGGCACCTCGAACAGCTCCTCGGGCAACAGTTCGCCCGCCAAGGCGTATCTGCATCATCATCTACACCATGGCGCCCACTCGCCACTTGCCCATCATCATCATCATCATCATTCGCTGCAGCTGCACCATACGGCGCCGCCCTCGCCACTGGCGTCAGTGCGCCACCAACAACAACAACAGCTTCAGCAACAGCAACAGCATCAACAGCAACAACAGCTTTCGGGTGCTTCGCCCCCACCCGGCGGCTGTCTGGCAGTCTGTTGTTCAACGACCGCCGCCGCGTCCACGCATCATCATATGACCATGGGCCATGTGCCGCATATGGCGGCACATCATTCCCTGTATCCGCTGATGGCTGCCGCCCAACTGGGCTATGTGGGCTCCAGTGGGCCCAGCTCTCTGGTCAATTCGCCCGCGCTGGGCCGACGTAAGCGCTACACAAGCACCTCCTCGAATTGCTCCAGCCAATTTAACAATAACTACGCCGGACTCGATGTGGACTCCCTGGACGATATGCTGCGGAAGGTAAGCAGCTGGTTGTTTCTTTTTTTGTATATTTTACATAATAAGCATTTAAAAAGTAACAAATTCTCGCAATGTATTTTGTTCTTCTTACAAAATATTTTTCTTTGATATAAAACTCACAAGCCACTTTAACAATTGCCTGTCAAATTTAGCAGTCAAAATATTTTATTTAATGAAGGCTAAAGTAGATGACAGAGCATAACATTAATTTACTAGCAAACATTCAGTTTCTTATTCTCGGGTGACGATCAAAGTTGCCAGCAAGATTAACATGCAGTTAAATTAATTTCAGCTTTCTGTTTGGGCGTAAGCATTGGCAATTATACATTTAAAATTTAACATGCCGTTTATCTAGCTGTTATTTATTTGACATGTAAGTGTTGCCACTTTGCTGTGTATGGCCCATGTGGCAATACCAAATTGTTAGCCAAAAATGAATTTCTTATCAACGCGCTAAAGACTTGCTAGTAATATGAGTAACAGGTTCTACTTATTTTATGGACCTCACTTTAAGATTATTTTAATCTTTATTTATATATTATATATATCTATATATATGTATACCGCTTTCTTAGTACTAATCGCAAGCAGCAGTAGAATGTCGGTGTCGAGGGCTGCTCTTTAAGAACATATTTCGCCCTCGCGTCCCTGTTCTCTCTCTCTCGCTAACTTTCTCCCATTTCACTGCTGCATCTACTTCGCCGTCTATTATTCGTCTTTTTGGACCTGTCTGGCCGTCTGCTGTCCGTCTGCCTGTCCGTCGTGGCCATAAATCTAGAGCCTAGTCCGGTCGCACAGCGTGTGCTGCAAGACGCGCCGTGCGCCCAAAAAATATGCAACGCTTTTTACGTGTTGAACATTTTTAAGCGCGCAGCCGACCCATAAATAATATGCGACAAGATTTTTTTTCTGCCCCTTTTTTAGGCTCCTTTTTTTTATGAAAATAATTTTTCTCGTTTATTTTGCTTGTGTAAGGCCAGAGTGTAGGAGGGTGTGGGTGTGTATGGCAGCGGCATGCAAACAATTTAAATTTGTTATGCGCTCCGAAAGAATGCCTAATGTATAATAGGCTGGCGTACTAGCTGCCTGGCTGCAACAATGCCGCAAGCTGACCTGGCAACTGGCTTGGGTTTAGTGTGCGTGCAAATTTGCATTACGTATACGTATTTGTGTGCATATTACGTATTCGTATGGGTGTGTGTGTGTGTGTGTGTTGTTAGACCATTTTGGCCGCTTGCATTTTATTAGCGATAATGAACTCCACGTGCACCAGCGCGAAACGATGCGAAACTAAACGAAACCGTTGCATACTTTGTGGCATGTGCCCCCCCTCAACTATGCCTCCTGTACGCGCGTGCATTGCCATTGAAACGCGGCGGAAATGGGGTAGCTTCAAGTTGTGGCAGTGCGTATAATAGCCACAGGCTGAACAGCTCGTCAAAAGTTTAGCTAAGAGAGTCTTGAGAGTCTAGGCAAATTCAATTTAATATGCAAAACTAGTTTGCTTGAATTTTTGTCTTGAAAAACATACAACAAAAGTATATGCCAGATCCTGATTTCATAAAGCTGAGCGAATACCAAGGCTTCAAGTCGGAATTCGATTTTAAGCCGAGCCCCAAGCCGGACTTATATAATTTATGAGTTTGGCCTTTGCCCATTAAATGTAGTAGATATTTAAGCAGAAATTTGATAGCGAGCTGCAGGGTATTTGCCAGTCGTGTGTCCTTTTTGGCTCACACCTATTTGTTTCTATTGTGCAGTGTCGCATTGCCACAGGTTAACATTTGCCCCCCTTTAATGGGTCGATGGTTGATGTAGAAATCGGTATTGGTAACGTTGTTGCCACCGTTTCTAGCTGCCGCTGTTGCTGCTGCTGCTGCTGCTGCTGCTGCATTGCATTTGTGGCCGCCATAATGGAGCTGCGGGCAGCGGACCTGCGGGCTGCGGATCTGCGGCATGCAGACCTGCCGACGGTTGCGACGGACTGCGGCGCGGCTGTTGCTATTACCTTTTGCCGTTTCCCATTTGCCATTGCGATTGCAATTTTGTTGTGGCATAGTTTCCCGTCCAGGCGCGTGCATAATGGCAATTTGAATAATGTGCCAAAATATGCAGACATTTCATTGTTTGCGCCCTCCCTGCCACTTCAGCTGGCAAGTAACGGCCTGGCCGCCCCATAAGAAAACTGGGACACTCGCTGACAATCAAAGTTTGGCTCGATTCACTTTGACGTTTGTCATAAACATAGACTGGAAATTAGATGGACTTGGGCGCTAGAACTTTGCGGCAATAAACGGCAGACGAGGTCAAAGCCAAAACGGCAATAGAGGCGAGAGCCAAAGCAAGCGCAGAACTTAAATCGAATTGGGTCTGAAGGAGAAGAAGAAGACGAACACCAACAACAACAAGTCGAAAGTTGTTATCGAGTTGCGGCCCAAGTTTGAAGCATTTGAAGCATCAACAAACTTTGTGGCTGCGTTTCTCAAGTGGTCGTCAGCGAACGAAATGAAACCGATCCGAAGAAAAGAGACCAATTCCAGCAATAGGCTTAATCTATTGATTTCTATTTGAAGGCTGCTTAGCATGCGCACAGTGTGCCCAGCTGCGTTTGAAGTGACTCAAACAATGAAATACAGTCGAATTTTGTTCACATTAAAGCATTGCTTTGGGCAAATGTCTGGCGAGCAATAAGCAATGTGACCAGCTGAAGTCAATCATCAATTGGCTTGAGGTTACTTAACTTGCGGGCGGTGTGACCAGCTGTAGCAATATTGGTAATAAGTGTGACCCTAAATTAGCTTGCTTGTACTGTGATCAGCTTTATTTAAAGTTATCCAAAGACTTGTTAGATGCAGACACATTTGTGAATTTTATTTTAGTTTTTACCACGAGCAATTTTCTCCCAAACCAACAGGGTGACAAGCAATTATAGAGAATTCATTGTGACTAGGAGCTATCGGTGTGGTCAGCTGCGTTGAAAGTAAATTAATGAGAGACGTGCAGTGTGCCCAGTATGTCAACTTTTTGACCAGCCTTAAATTATTTAATCGTTCGTTAATCTATGAGGAATGTCACTGCAAACAAAGCATATTTATATATGGTGTTGTTATATTTATATTGGATGTTTAGAACTAAATCTGTTTTTCATAGATCTATAGCATTAACTACGTAAACTAAATACGGCATAACTAAGCTGAAGATCCATTTAATATACTCATATATGTGCGCTTCATGCTGCTTGCATTTGTTTATTGGCCCTATCAGTGGCATTTTTAATGGCCCGACGACACAGGCCAGCAGCTCAGAATTATTTAATATATGAGTCCGGGCGTGGGGGTAAAAATTGTACACACCTTAACGTAATTACATGTGGGCCTGACGAGGGGCACACGGCAGGAGGGGTGAGTTCGGTTTACACGCCTGCTTTGGGACGGAAGGGGGAGAAGGCAGCTGGGTTTGGGTTTGGGTTAGCTTTTTGGGTTAGCTTCTTTGCCCTGGTCGCTCGTTAGTCGCCATGAAATGCCTTCGTTCTGGGAGTTGTGCCAGCCAACAAATGAGCAGCAGCCCGCATGGCCCCCCAAAACTGCTAAACAATACGCATCTCCAGCAAATACACATACATGCACACATACGCAAGCAAAAACACGCACGAACAAACGCACACCAACACACAACAACACACATACGCACACACCCACCTACAACACCTGCATTGTGAAATAATGTTTTTATAAGCCACCTTTATATAATGACAATGGGGAATCATTAAATGTCTATTTGCGCTTTTTTAATACCCTGTAACCATAAAATGGGTACGACACGGGCATAACAAACATATATATATATGTATAACTAACTCGCTTGTCCTGACTGCTAGACTGACTGACTGACTGACTGATTGATGATCCACGCATACTATAATTACCCCAATTTGAGCTTGAGTGCATTTGAGACGTTCTACATACTTGGTCCTTGTTTCGTCGTGTGGAAATTGGGGTTTAGTTGGGAGAATCTTTGAGTTTTATTCGAGCGCAACTTTGAACTTTCTGCGACTTTTGCTAAGCGTTAATTAAATTTGATTATAGGGTATTTATCTAGTCGAGCGTTGCGTTAACAGTTTTCATTGGCAGTGTCTTCGGGCTTGTGCGTTTCGCCTTTTCTTTTGCCTTCACTCGGTAGCCATATGTGTGGAAGTCGTATAGCAATGAGCTATTGTCAGCCAACGCAAATACCTTCTAATTACGAGCTTTGAGTGGGTTTAGTAAATTGTGCATTGTCCCTTTCTAGCCTTATTAGTAAGCCGCTCTCCCCCCCTCTCTCTCTCTCTCTCTCACTCACTCTCTCTCTCTGCCTGGTTTATGTAAGCTTCAAATTCTGATAAGAATTGAAAATCATTCTCATTTCGCATATCGTACAAATCTTGAGTAAAGCTATAAGCTAACGAGACTCAAGCTTAATGCTGGTTTGTGTGTGTGTGTGTGTGTGTGTGTGTATGTGTTTGTATGTATGAGCAGAGTAGCACTGATAGACGCAGCTAATTTTGAGACGTCACGCATTTATCTTGCGCCACATGTTGGCAATCCTTGCATCACACACACACACACACTCGCACATTCATGTGGAAACCCTTCACAGCAGATTTCCTTAAGCGCTACTCTTCTCACAATAAGCTAAAAAAAAAAAAAAACAAAAAGAGTAGAAACAAAAAGCAAAACCGTAAAAATAGAAAAACCAACAACAACAAAACACACACACACAAAGCGTCATAAAATAGCAAAACTAACGAACTCGGGCAGCAGAGCGGCCCCAGAGTTGAAAAAAAAAAGAATAGAAAAGGGTTACCGCTTAACCGCTCCTGGCAACCCGCAACCCGCAACCCGCACCTTTGGCTATGTGCGTGTGCCCATCAAGGGATTTCCCTTCAATTAGGATTAATACTCCAGATACCAAAAACAACAAGCATCAAAAGAGAAGAGCTGAGAAAAGAGAAAATTCTGCAACGAGTGTTGCGTACGCTTAACTAGGGTAATGCCTTACATATGTGCTCCATACACACACACATACACACTCATACACACACATACATATATGTATGCAGTCCAGTTCGGATAACCAAAAATGCCCAAAATCCGCCGGACCCAGTGCCATAAAGCTGGAGACGAGCTCAGGCCTCAAAATGGCGCACAATTGAGGCATTATTAGTAAAGTAGTTTTACATACTTTAAATAAGCACAAAGAGTATACTGGACTTATATATGCCCTGTTCAAGAATGCAGCGATGTAGCGATGACAACAACCATGCCTGCGTCTAATTTATTTGTGGCTTGTTCTATGTGGGATCCGTATACATGCCGCAGATCTACTTAAATATTTTATGACTTCATCGATGCAGGCTTGAGATATTATATACCAGACGCCAACCTGCGTACAGGGTATCTAAAGCCGTTTGTCCGGCCTGGCCAAAGAGTCAACCTTTTTCTATTATTTTTTTTTTGTT